GAGTGTATATATACATATATATTCAGAGTTATTTATGTCCATAGAGTAGGCAGATGTCCAAAAAGATATTTTCTAAGTAATTTTAATTCTCCTAAATAAAAGATAGCCTTTCCCTAAAATATGTCTTCATTTTTTATCTCCAAAATGTACAGTGCTTTAATCACAGAGATTCAATCTCGAAATAACAGCTACTTTCTCTGAAGGAGAAAATTGAGCAACAACAACAAAAGCAATCATTAGAAGTGTAATAAAAGATGACTTTCCAAACCTAGAAAATAGCGACAGTCTTGTGGCCAGACACTATATGTAGTACTTTATTCACATTACCTCATATAATTCTCAATCCTATATATTAATCAAAATGAGAAGCCAAAGCTTAATACTTCAGAATATAAGTACAGACAAGGATCTCCAAGTATTTAGAAACCATCTAAATTAACTAATGGATTAAAAGGAAACTTAAAATACAGGAACAGGTTGTTTAGAAAATAAACATAAAAACACCATATATCAAAACCTAAGTCATAGATCCATAGCTGTGTTAAGAAGTAAACTGCTATCTTCAAATGTTTTTATTATTTGAAAAAGAGAAAGAAAACTAAGTATCAATATATCAATTTGAAAAAGAACTAAAGAAAAGATTAATATGTGATTTTAAGCAGGCAAAACATTTCTAAGTAGAAAAGCAATGGAAAAATTACCAAAAAAAGACAACTAGATTTAATTCAAATTAAAAAAATTTACGCACAACAAAAAATTACCCAAAATGCAAGGAAAACCACAAGTTGGGGGAAATATGTACTGTAATATATTGTAAATATATGTAAATATATTATTTAAAGCTTAAGTAAATCAGTAAGTAAACAAGACCTCAAAAGTATTAACAGGCAACAGATATAAGCAATTTTAGAAATAAATTCTAGCAAGCAAACACAAAAAATTCCAAAACTTACCCCCCAAAAAAGAAAATTACAAGTCCTAATAGCAATGAGTTGTTTTTATCTATTATATTATCAAATAAATTAATAATAATACCCAAAACAAATTAAAAGATTTTTTGAGCCAGCATTTTCATACAATAGTGACTGTACTACATGGTTTACAACTAGTATAACCTATTAGAAACCATTTGACTATCAACAGTTATTGAAATCGTTATTCCTATGACTCAGTAAATTCTCCTTGAAATGTATCCTATCAAATTCAAAATAAGGGAAAAAATCTGTATGCTCCAAGATGTTTACTGCAATACTATTTATGATAGTGGAAAACTGGAAAATGTCATCTCTAAAACCAACAAGGATTAAAATAAATTGTTATATCCACTTGACTGGTTTACAGGCATTAAAAATAGACGATTGTGAAAACACCTAGAAACATGGACGTTTTAAAATAATATTAATTTTTTTTAATTTCGCTTCTAAATTTTCTTGCATATAATTACTTTCTTCAATATTAAATATAAGAAAGTTCGTGATGCTTTAAAATTCCTGTCTAACCTATTTCAACACTAGAACAAAAGACATTGTTATGATTTTATTTTTAAGCAGAACTCCAAAGCAATCATTCTAATTTTTTACTTTATACCATATCCAACATTAAGTGTAATTTAAATTAAGCATAACAAATAGAAAAATACTAAAATCTTTTGCCAGACAAAAAAAAGCCAACTCATTAGTCTTGCCTTAATTGTGTTTCAGTTTTTTCCATATTTTCTATTTGTTTCAACATCCGTTCTTCTTTCTTTTTGCTATTCTAAAGAAATAAATGTTGTTTATGTTAATAATTCTGTTTCAACAAAAATAAAATTGAAACTAATATTTAAAACCTTTATCTGTCACCATGAAATTCAATTAGTTATATATAAAACAAGACAGTGAGCTATTTAACTTGCATAGTTACATACTATTTTTCCAGCCTTATTTTAATTATTCCCCTAGTAATCTCTATACAGCAGCTAAAAAGCAAGTCTTACTTATTGTCTCCCAGTGATACTTTAAGGCCTTCTATCCTTGTTCATACTGTTGTGACTTCAAGGAATGCTTTTCCATTCACTATTACCTACTGAACTTATAATCAGTCATCTTTTAAGACCAAAATCAATGTTATGTTCTCTCTGAAGCCTTCTCTTCCTCCAAGGAAGAAGATAACACTTTGTCCCAAAAACAACACATATAACATAGCATTTTAAGTTATTTGAACATTTAGTTCTTCTCTTGAGTCATAAGATCTTAAAGAGGAAAGAAGGTATTTTATTCATCGTTGTATCCTCCACATTGTCATATGATTTACCTGATAAATACTTGTTGAATAAATATTCATAAAAATCCTAACGCTTAAAATTACATTAACTTTATCAATGGGTAGTTCTATAGTCTGTTGCCCATTATCACCATCTAAATCAATATGCATATTTTTCTTCTGAAACAGAGGATCAGCTTTAAGATAATCAGATTTGTAAAGGGTAAAGAATCTTGGAAAGTCATCTATTCGAGCCCCCTATATTTACAGGTTAGAAAACTAAGTCACTGGTACTTTCTTTTACAACTCACATCAGTATCTTCTTGCTGTTTCTTGAGTTCTAGGGCCATTTCACTTGTTTCTTGTGCTAATTTTTTGTTCGCCAGTGAAAGCCTGTTGCAGCTTGCATTTAGTTCAGTAGTCTTAAGCCTGTTTTTTAAAAACATGTCAGACCTAAATATTTACCTATTAAATTATATGATGTAGAATTTAATTCAAGATAATCTTAGGGGAAAGGGAGAAAGGGCTGGGAATATAAATAAGATTGGCCATTAATTAATAATTTCTGAAGTGCAGTGATAGCTATGTGCTGCTTCATTACATTATTCCCTCTACTTTACACGTTTGAAATTTTCAACACTAAGTTAAGATGCCACAGATTTCCTTGCATATTCCCTACACCTCATCTCCCCATACTTTTCCACAAATTTTGAAGGGTGTCTTACTTTCTCATATAATTTTTTTTCTCTAGTAGACGGTCTCAAAACTATTCCAAACTTCTGGTGATTTGATTATAGTAGTACATGAGGCATGAGCTATTTTTAACAAAATATTTTCATTAAAATAAGTAAAATGAGGTTTAATTTTTGTGCGCAACACTTAAACTGCTCTTACAAGATCTCAAATACTCCACACTGGAAGAGAGATTACTACTGCTATTAGTGCAGTCAGAATCCATTTTAAATCAAAGAAGGGGGAACTGTGTGGTTCTATGGAATTATTTCAGTAGCAAGCACCTATTATCTTCTCCTACTTAACCAATACTGGAAATTCATCAAAGAGTAGATTAGAAAATGAAAGGTTGAAAAAGAAAACATAGCTTTGAAAGGTTGAAATAGGAAACATTAAACTAACGTATAAATAACCAGTCCATTTACTAAAAGGAATTTTGGTTAATAAGTTTTACCCAGAATTCAATGACGTGTATGTATTTTGTCACTACACCAAAACAAATCTATGAAATAATTTAACAAGCAATCAAAATAAATGGGTAGAATTGCAAATAATTATTTTTATGAGGAACTAAGTATTGCCAAGAAAAGTAATATATTGATATTCTAAAGAAGTTCTCAACTTTGTGATATACTCTTTTTAGGTCAATTATATGTATATGTGTATGTATATATGTATATGTATTTATCTGTATATATATATTTACAATGGTGTGTATATGTATATATGTGTGTCTATATATGTATATGTGTATATGTATATACATACATATATATATATATAGACACACATACACACACCATTGTTAATTTCATTAGCAGTAAAATTAATAAATTATTTTGATCTCTAATTGGGAATAAATACAACTTTAACCCCATTCAAATAAATATTGAATATAATTTACTAATTTATTAACTACCAGAAAGCTTAAAAATGAAATATGAAAGTTATTTATAGATAGAAAACTTACTTCTCATTTTCAAGTTCAGTTTTCAGCTCTTTAACCTGTCTGGAATAATGTTGCTCACTTGTCACAATGGCAGTTAACTGTACTTCCAAATCATGCACTTTTCTCTGGAAAATAAATGTGTATAATCACAGCAAACATTTTTACAATATTCTTATTTTAAAAGTATGGTCAATCTGTAATCAACTCATATATTAGGCAAAAATTTGGTAAGAAAATGTCACATTTTAAAATCTAATAGACTTAATGCTAAAAGCATTATAATTTTAGAGTAATGAATAATGACAAATGTAATACAAGTAAATTCCATCTTGATATTCTAAAGCTCAACCAGTAAAATTATATTTACAAATTATAAAATATTTTCATCAGTTTTACTCAACCAGGTAATTAATCTCCATTAAAATGTTATATTATCAAGAAAAAATATAATAATTAATGAAGTCAGGTAGTATCTTAAAAACTAAGCTGTTCTTACTATTTTAAACTATTGTATAGTTACAACGTAATACTATTATGGATTGAAAAAAATACCTTTATAAAATAAAAAACATATTCCAAAATTATAACATAAGCACTATAAAAATTATTGTAAACTAAGAACTTAACAAAAGTTAAATTTTAAACGTTTAAATTAAGAATACTGAAGACATCAAAAATGTGATTGTTATAAACCATAGCATGATGCATACTCCTGATATCTTAAATGCTGACCTCTCTCTCCCACATTAGAATATGAAGATTTTCTAGATGTGTTTCACATTAATCATTAGTACATTAAATATATCAGGAACACTTCCTTTGAAAGGAATTTTGTGAAGAAATCTTTCACAAAGCTAATAGCTATACCATAATCTATTCTGTAAATCTGTACTCTACTAACAAAATGTTGCAGGACAAAATGTATCTTTTCTAAACAAACCTCTCTGGTGTGGAGAAGACCAGTCAGTTCTTGCTGTGTTCCTTTTAATTCTTCAGCAATCTTCTCAAATTGTTTCTTTTCATCTAAAAGCTTTTGGTTTTCTACCTATTTAAGAACACCATAAATCATGACAACCAAAGCACAAACGTATGCAAAATGATCAAACTACCTAACTAGAGTGAAGAGACTTACGAGTTTCTCTTTGGCTAAAATTTTTTAAAAAGAGAAAACAAGTAATTAATAAGTTAATTCCAAAACTAAATATAACAAAGGATTGAATAAACAGAGCCCTAAAATTTTTTATTTAAAAAAAATCAGACAGGTCATTGAATTCAAACCTTATCTTATGCATAATTCACTCCAATTTATTAGCATTTATTAGTCACTCACTATCCTACCAATCCTGTTTGTCTTTATATTGCACTAAAACGTGCTTCCCTATAACTTCCATGCAATTGTCATTGTTCTGCCTTTCTTAGTCGCATAGAAGTCTAATTCCTTTTTTACATGATAGCTGACAAATATTTGAAGAGAATTATCAACACTCCCTAACTTTTCTTTTTCTCTTAACCATTCTAAAATCTCTAATTCTTATTATCATTCTTCCTATGAAATGGTTTTAAATTACTTCATTCCCCGAGGATTCCTTTGTCAATATACAATTTTAAATAAGGTATCAAGAATTAAATTCAATGTTGAAATATGGCCCTTTGTAGCAACGTGGATGGAACTGGAGAGTGTTATGCTAAGTGAAGTAAGCCATACAGAGAAAGACAGATACCATATGTTTTCACTCTTATGTGGATCCTGAGAAACTTAACAGAAACCCATGGGGGAGGGGAAGGAAAAAAAAAA